GGCAGGGAGCCAGCCGCACAGCCTGGAACAGGTCTGCGACCGGGTGAGATATTGCAGATACGCAGGCGCAAGGAATGAAGCGAATTAGACACAGCTCGACGCACAGAGAGTGAATGTCACATTATTTTTGGTTGTGGGTTACGTAGCAGTGTAGACCAGCGCGGCAGCTGCCTGTCAGGTGTTCGCAGTCGTTTACAAAGAAAAGCAGAGATGATTTTTTTTTTGGAAAGTTGCAACAGTTAAGCAACGCCTTTCGTAGCAACAGTGAGCCCGCGGTCGGTGACATCATTATTATTATTTTTTAACTCGAGAAAAAGATTGCAAGAATGATAAAACATTATTTTTTTAGGAAATAAGGACAATCAACGGTATTATCCAGCAAAGCGATATGACATTAAAATACACTGTACCGCATCCAAAATGCATATCAATGGTTTATGGATCAGCAAATAGCGGGTGGCGTCCATGACCCTAACTAGGCATGCGAATTGCGAAACCACGTCTTGAAGAAATGTGACATAAAATAGTTCAGTTTTTGTCCTCCTGTCCTCACAGCCTTACGAACAGTTAAGGCAAAAATATTTAGCAATAGAGCACAATTCTTCATTGAAATACAAATGCAAATCTTTTTTTACTCTGCATTCTGATGAAGAGTTGTCCTTGAAATTGGCATTTGACATGTTTTTTTTCAAAATAATTATTAAACGTTTTTTTTTTGCTTAAACCTTTTTTCCAAAAGCTATGATTATAAGGTCATAAAATCTTAATTATTCAAAATATGATCCTTGCACAAGCCCTGACAAACCTGAAAAAGTGGGATAACATAAAACCGACCATTGAACTGAGCTACCAAGGATACTGTAAGACTACGTCTTCACATTTACATAAAATGAAGTTGAGGAGCCACCTCTGTTTAAAATTGTTTCAGCGATGTCGCGTCGTCCGCGATGTCGCACACCGCAGCGGGTGCCGCCGGCGCGCGGCCGCGCGCGCGGGCAGCGCGGCGGCGTGCGGCTCCACCACCGAGGCCGTGCTCCTGGCAGGGCCGGGCCGGGGCGGGGGCGGGGGCGGCGCCTGGGCGCACGACACGCCCCCGGCCGCCGCCGCCGCCGCCGCCGCCGCCGCGAACCGTGAAACAGGAGCGTGACGACCGCCGGTGGGTCCGCCAGGGACAATGGCCCGGCGACGGCGGCCGCGGCGGGCACGACGGGGTGGGAAGGGGGCTGGGACTGGGGATGGACTGGAGCTGGGCGGGCTGGATCAATTTACTTTGCAAGACCTTCAATAATCAGCTCACACCATGGGGAACATTTTTCCATTCCATCCTTCTAAAGTTTTCCGTCGTATGTATGCAAGTAGCTGATTTGAGTTTGTTCTCAAATCACAACGAAATATGTTTCCACAATTCACGCTTGGCTCTGGAAGCAGGTTGAAAAATATGCACTCAATATCTTTTGACAAAAAATAAATAAATAACAACACAAATTATTGAGCATTTCCATTCAAACAAATGTACAGAACAACTTCAAAGTGTCATTTGGGCACATTGGCGTGAGGGAGCAGCGGCAGTGGCTGAGCCAGTGTCGCGGATCCGGCTCGCTTTGTTTCGGCCCGCCCACAGCACTTGACTGGGCTCCCCGGCCCCTTAGCACCGTTCAGAAGCGGGCGGAGAATGGCTTCACAAGGCTCACCGGACCGCAGAGGCTGGGCTGCTTCCAATAGTCAGCTTTGGATAAGGCAGAATTCAGTTATAGCTCTAAAGGATGTACACTTTACAAAGGGGGCTTCAGAAATTTGTTTTTTTTTTTTGCTAGCATTCATCGAACAGGAATATCGCCCCATTCCGTGTCTACTGTTACATACTATATACATTGAAAAACCACACCGGTGTGTTCAGTAGGTATAGAATGGGATCAATCACACCACTCATGATCAGCTCCGTGTCCTCTGGGGCAGGAGTTGGAGCGTTTTTGAATGTGCTCGTACACAAAGTAAGAAGTGAACACATTCCAAAACGCTCCATTCTCGGCCGAAATATCTACAAAAACAAACACAACAAATTGGTTTGAGAGGAAACCAGTGACGCTGCATGTCGGTGACATAAAAAGATTTCTATTAAATGTGAGCAAAGCTCAGTACTTAAACGTGATAAAATATGCTTCCCTATAATATATATTCTCGCTTTTCCCTTCCTTCCCTCACATCTCCCTCATTTTAGTTCTGACTTTCTTCAGAGTCAATCTGGCTGAAATAAATTATGCGGCCCACCATGTAAGTGTGCTCCCAACTGGAAACCTGCATACAAACAGGCCTCGGTGGGTAGGGCAAGGACAAATAAGGATCGTTCCCACCATTATACGAGTAATTTGGATCTCAACGAGATGCGCTGGGTCCCTAAGAAAGTACCGACAAATTTTGAAATGCATCAGGCAGGTGATATTCAAATGAATGCGTATCAGTATGATAGTGTCAGCGTTGTAAGCCTGTCATTCTTTTCGCTTATTCGTTTTATTTCACCCCTCATTGAAGCAACAGACATTTTCATAGATGTCCACAACATATGTCTCTGAGAGTTCATTCGGATAGTTCATGCCAGTCAGCAGAAAAATGTGTTTCACTTTTGAATGGGTAACTAGAGTTTGCAGTCTTTGCATTTTTGGATCGCCTGCCGTTGTCATTGTATATCTTTGGCAAAAGATGTTGTTCTGCCTCAAATTGTGCCAACAAATGCCAAAACGGCCTGCTCAAGTAGCTTACCATATCCCTCGCCCTGGCAGGGCATTTTTCATAACACGGCCTGGCAGGGGGGGGGGTCGATGCGACCCCCCCCTCGCGATTGGCTCCTATGGCACCTAGAAACACCAAATTTGGTAGGTAGGTGGGCCCCCTGGAGTTCTCGCCCCTGTGCAAATTTGGTTGCTCTAGGTCAATATTTAGGGGGGTTTTGGGGGGTATAAATGTAAAAATTTCGCTAAAACAGGTCAAAAGTTTTTCGCTTATAACTTTTGATCTTATTACGATACAGCGAACAGAAGAGCACCAGTGAACTCAGCACGTCAAGGCGCGTCGAATGATATACTTTTTAGCTTGCTTAAGTGTACTTAAAGTTTTTCTTAAATTTTAAGTAAACTTAAATTAATAAATTAAGTTCAAGTTAACGAAATTGCATCATATCGCATATCATTCGATTCGGCTGATCACCAGGAACACAATGATACCATTTTTTTAAGCTCTAGCGTCATTACGGAGCGATCGAAGCGAGCGGAGTCTTTCCTTAGATTAACGGAAATTTCTGAGTATGAGCGGCCGGCCGGCCGGCCGGCCGTGGGGACGCTCTTCAAAAGCTAATATCTTAGGAACGGGACATCCGATTGACAAGCGGTCTTCTTTACTGAATATCACTTGGACGTAAAAGTTCTGTGGTGTGATGGCCACCATGCGTTCTTGCCAACCACCGCACGTGGCGCGTGGTAAAGTTGGACATTTTTTAAGAACCCCCAAAATTGCAACCTCAATAACGGCACAACGGTTGGGCCGATTGAATTGAAACTCGGTACACAGTTAGGTCTCCATCAGATAATTCATCTGCATGTGTTAAGGTTGGGGTGCTGCTGCACGTGCGCACGTGCAGGGGTCGTTTCCAGATCTCGAGAACGGCTGGACCGATGGCGCTCAAAGTTGGTACACGGTTAGGGACCAGTTAGTAGGGTGCCGTGCAAAAGTCAGTTGGGACCCATTTTGCACGTGCGCAGGTGCAGGGTGCCGCTTCCAGATCTCGAGAACGGCTGGGCCGATTGTGCTCAAATTTGGCACATCGCTAGAGACCGGTTAGTAGGGTGCCGTGCACAAGTCAGTTGGAGGTACCCCCTCGAAATTTCGCACGTGCAAGGCCCACCCTCTCGCTCGCTCCGTTAGTCGCCCCATAAGGCGTTATACTGGTTATGTATACCAAGTTATTGGCAAAAACGTCATTTGACCTCAGTTGACCTCATTTGACCTGACCCATGGATAAGTACACCAAACAAAGAAGTACCAAGTGACCTGCTGTTAAGTACTGTGGTTTCAAAGCACAAAAGTGATAGAACGAAGCGGATATCTCCAGTATTTTCCGAATTTAGTATTTTCCCATAGGCTTAACATTACGACGTAATGACCTCTAACTGACCTCAGGTTAGTGACCTAAAAAAAACGAACTATTTGTTATACAACTCGGTGAACTTAGCACATCCAGAAAGTTTGAAGGAAATCAGTCCAAAACTGTGAGTTGGACAGGTGCAAAAAGAAAATTGAAATTTGACCATGACCTTGTACCGGTTTTTCTGACCTGGTGACCTGACCCAAGGTCACTCGGACCTGAAATTTTCAGGTCATATGTAAAAAGGTTGCCTCATAGGCTGTGCCAAATTTGGCGGCGCTGCGCGCCGCCGTTTTTACGCTATCTTTGAAAAACCTTAGGGGGGCCGCATCGACCCCCCCCCTGCCAGGGCGAGGGATATAATCCCAAATAACGGAGACGGACAAACAAATCACTTCTTTTGCCAAACGCAGCATGAATTGCATGTTCCAAAGGCGTTTCTTAGGATAGCAAATTGGAAACATTGAAGCAATGAAGGACTTTACTTAGAAGCCGTTAAAACTTATGAGCAGTTCCCCTTACTTATCCCACTTTTCAACGTCATCGAGAATTAAAAAGCAGCTGTTCTTTTCACCAAATCCTTGTCACCAATACCTATAAAGTATGATCCTGACAAGCAAAAGTTGTTTCCTAATGAAAACGTTTAGCTCTCCTCGTTAGGCGGTTACAAGGTAAGGTATGTTTATCATGGAAACAGAGATAGCAGCAAGGAACATATAATAAATCACAGTTCAAAACACACATCCTGTGTTTTCAAATTTTATGTAGATTCTCCTCTTTGTGTGACATTAATTATCACATAGCGAGGTCGGCCTCCATGGCTGGTAGCCCGCCGATTGTTCCGTTGCACAGTTGTTGCACATACCTGTCATTGTTGGATGTGACGAGCCCTTCCAGCCGGCCATCAGCCCTATCAGGGGGCAGATCGACACCCCAGCTGCTGCCCCGCCGACCACCAGTCCACTCCGCGACCCACCCCACCACAGCGACCTGTCCCGCGGTCATGACCTGACCCCACCCCAGCCCGGCCGCCCGGCCGGCTCCGTCCCGCGGCCGTCCGCGCCGGCCCTCACTGGCCTCACTGCCGCTCTCCCGCTGCTCTCTATCGGTTCCCCTCCCTCCTCTACCCACTCTGCTGTGCAGACGGGCAGATGGCATTGGTATGGAGATGAGGGAGTCCGCTGTGCTGCCGGACAGCTGCCGCCGGGCGCATCATAACGCTGATGACCAGGCGTCACACCGCCTCCCCACCTGGACCCACCGGGGGACGGAGGGACGGAGGGACGCCGTGAGTCCCTCCGAAACTCACCTGCGGAAAGGTCGAGCCGAACTGGTGCTGCATCATCTCCAGCTGAGACGGGTACGCGTACGTGCACATGTCGCCAGCCGGACCGGTCCAAGGTTACAACAAGATCGAGTGAGGAGCGCGCCAATTTTTCCGCCGCCCGTCGCCGACTGTCGGGCGATTTTTCGCGCGGTGCCGTGGCGGCCGATTTTGGCGCGGCCGCGCGGCGCCGACTGCCGCTCGGTCGTCGGTTGGTTGGTCGGCGGCGGCGGCCGTCGTCTTGTCGCTCGTCGTCGGAGGGACGGGGCGGGAGCGGGGGCGGGGACGGCCCCGCCCGCCAGCACTCCTCCACATCGACCGGACCTCGGCGGCAAAGGCAGGTGGGACATGGACTCCGGGCATAGCGAGCACGGGCTGGAGCGGGCCGCTGTATGTTCAGTGCTGGTTCGAGATGGTTTCACATTGACTAATTGGCCAAAAAAGGTGCCACTTCTCGTGAAAAAAGGCTGCCACTGAAAATAATAGCGCAGTTCCGAATCTGATCCCAGGGATCGAGACGATACACAGTAGCAATTATTCCCCAAGCTTTTCGGACAATTGCTGCAATTCAAGGCGGTTGATATCACTACCAGACGGTCCCTGATAATTCAATGCGTTCAATATCAGCACCAGAAGGCCCAAAAGAGAGGAGAGGAAGTATGGGTTGGCCATTTTCACCAGAGACACTGCTGCACCAGTTATTGCCACGTACCAAGAACTGCGAGAGTCGCTTCTGTAATGAATTCTTTTTATATGACAAATAATGGAATTCGAAACTTTTTCCTGGACTGCTTCACTGACCATTCCAAGCGCCGCTCTGGCTCTTCCAGAGCATCAATTCTCTGGCTGTATGCCCCCTTCCCCCCCCCCACCTTATAAGAATCTCCCGTTCCGCTTGTGAGGCTGCAGGCTGATAAAAAATCGCTGGGAAAATGGAAAGTGTTATCAAATGCACTATCTCAACTTTGTCATTCACCGCTTTTGTTGTAACGCAGTTTTACGTAGCTCAACCGACAAACAATCCACTGATGGTCCTAGCTGAGCTGAATAAGGCAAGAAAAATTATTTTAAAAACAGATATTTAGTGCCTTTTCGTGTACTTGCTGCCATGGGATCAATGTTTAAATCGTATCTTAAACGTTCCCGGGTCCGGTGAGCGTCCGGCCCATGAAGTAGGGTGCACCACGTGTACCTCCGTTCAAGACCACCCTTAGGTCCATTACCCCACCAGGATGCTTGCTTCGCATAGCACCTATCCGTGCTTCTATCCTCAGGATACTGAAATCCTTCTCCTCCACGCCACAACCTCCCTCCGGGCTGGACAGGCAACTTTATCTCATGCGGGCTTGCTCCCTGGGAGCGGCACCGCTGCTCCCGAGGGAGCGCACCCCGTAGCCGGGTGCAGTGAGTGCCTTGGGGCTGGGTGGCCTGTCCTCTGGACGGGCTCAGCCCCGGCGACTCACTAGGGTGCCTGCCCAGACCAATGTCTCCCCCTAATTCCTATCATCCTTCCGGCTCTGCAATGGTCTTGTCAGACCGAAAGGGCCTAACCCAACAAAACAAACAAAACAAACAAAAGCTTCGCATAACCGCTGAAACATCCTCGTTACAATCCCCTATTATATCATGCCATTCTTCTTTATCCTATTCCAGTCGGTGGTGAGATTTTTGGTCGCTTAACCCGCGACCGCCTGGGGGGGGTCGGATCCGACCCCCCCTCCGTTTTTCTTTAATAACTCATGAACCGCTTGAGCTATCAATTTTTAACTTTGCATACCTTCTCCCCCATCAATTTGACGTCTCTTGTGCAATTTTTAAGAAAAAAAAATCAAAAATTTCTGAGATATATCGATTTTAGTGATGTAACTACATGGCGTTTTCAGTCAAAAAATGGTAAATATTTAAAAAATCGCCAAAAATCGAGGTTTAAAGCAAATTGCAAATTAAGGACATGAAAAGACGCAGCTCAACGAGTTCTTTAAAATGGCTATCTCGGATTTTCCATAAAATGCGTTTTTCACCCCTAAAAATTCAAAAAACTATATTTTTTGGAAAACAGCTAATAAAATCCAAAATTTTGAGAATTTCCAAAAAACCGGAATATATGTTATAGAGCTCTATTAGAACATTAGATGTTCCAAATTTCAACTTTCTATCTTGATTTTTGACCCCCAAATTGTAAAAAATAGCTCCAACATGCATAGGGCATGGTGACGTCATAAGCATTTTCGCGAATTAGAGGCACTTCTGAACATCGCATGTGAAAACAAATGGCACCACTAGATTCCTGGGACAAAGCTCGTCTAGAAAAGTGCATTTTTATGTCAAAAATAAAAAGTTGAAAAATTGACCTTTTTTCTTAGCCCTCGTTTAGTTATGTATGGTATAAACGATTTTTTATGCTTTCAATGCACATTTATCACCAGCACAGTGACTTGGGGTCACATATAACCATTACCATCGGATTTGGCGTGAAAAATAAGCCATAAAACATGTGTCGCACGCCCATTTAGCAGAAAGTGAAAACCGTGACCTTTCGTGACCTGACCTGACCTTGACCCGTACTTAGTATGACCCCTATACGCACATGGTACCTTCACTAGGTCTTTGAGGTCATTTGTGGTGAGTTTCGAGCAGCAGCTATCGATTCCGCTGTCCGTAAGCCTAATCATGCAAAACCCCTGAATTTGACCTTTGACCTGACCTTGACCCGTAAGTTGACCTCAATCTTAAAATCTTAAGAGTGCTTTGGGAAGGTCTCGTAGAGACCTTTCGAACGCCGCCTCGCGGGGCTCGATACGACCATTGGTTCTCGAGATAACAGGGGGGGGGGGTCGGATCCGACCCCCCCAGGCTGATGTGGGTACGGAAATAGCCCAGGCGGTGCCGGGTTAAGTTTCGAACAATGTTTCTCTTTATTGTGCTCAGGAGCTTTCTCCCAACACTGAAGCGAGTCATCTGTATGTATGTCCTCTCCTAAAAGTTGCCTACTTTACGAGGATTACGTAAAGCTTCTGAGTAAAGCATTCCCACGCAATCCTTATCGCTCTTGATAGTGCACGTTGACCTGTCCAGTGGTACTCTCGCGGGGACTCAAACAAACTCATCTTGTTTAACTCGCTTATCATTATGTCTATGGGCGCGCGCAAAGCGCTTGGAGCACGGCCGAGCTATTTCGCTGCTCTTTTCCAGGAGGTTGCATGCCCATTGATGTAGTTATGTCTGATGATGCACAAATTTGGGCGTTTCATTATCATGATATGATTTATCAAAATACTGCCATGCATACTCATGATCAGAGTCCATAAAGCATTCCCGATTAGGCTGCCCCACCCTATAAGTGCAGGTGGTTTAACCCTCGCCGGACCTATAAGTTTTCTACATATCGCACCGGCCGAGGGGGTGGGGGGCGAGTAAGACCCACCCTCGCCGTTTCGACCCTGGTGGAGCTAGCGCGTTTCGAAAAAAACGAACGTGTGCGCCGTTACGAGACGCAGAGAGTGATAGGTACCCGATTTTAAGGTCCTAGGTCAACCGGTGACCTTTGAGGTCAGGTCAAGTGCCACAAGGTACGGTTCCGTTTTCGGTGAATAACTTCGCAAAAAACGGCCGCAGTTATCAATTCTGAACTTTTTTGTTATAATGCTTGAGCGATATTGCGTGACATTTCATGCGATGATTCGATTCCCGCAGTGTGGCTCAGCGCACCCGTTTGCACTAGCCCATTTTCTAGCATCGCCAAGGGCATCGCATTCTCGCATTAATGCAAAATCGCACGGAAAATTGCGTAGTGGAGCCTGGGCTTTAAGCCACCTTTTCGGTCTCACCAGACCATTCCAGAGCCGGAAGGATGATAGAAATTAGGGGGAGACATTGGTCTGTGCACTGCAGGCACCCTAGAGTCTAGACTAGGGTTGAGCCTGTCCAAAAGACAGGCCGACCTGCCCCTCAAGTACTCACTGCAACCGGCTTTGGTGTGTTCCCTGAATCCCTAGGGAGCAGCGGAGCCACTCCAAGGGAGCAGCCCGCATGAGATAAAGTTGCCTGTCCAGCCGGGACTGAGGGTTGCGGCGTGGTGGAGAAGGATTTGATTGTCCTGAGGATGGAAACGGCGGACGGGTGATGTCTGGTAGGTAGGTATGCCTCATGAGGCACTCTTCTGTCTGCTTTCCCTTCTCCGTCTCCGTTTGTTTGTTTGTTTGTTTTTGTTTTGTTGGGTTAGGCCCTTTCGGTCGACAAGACCATTGCAGAGCCGGAAGGATGACAGGAATTAGGGGGAGACATTAGTCTGGGCAGGCTCCCTAGTGAGTCGCCGGGGCTGAGCCCGTCCAGAGGACAGGCCACCCAGCCCCAAGGCACTCACTGCACCCGGCTACGTCCGTCTCCGTTTCCGTCTCTGTCTCCGTCTCCGTCTCCGTCTCCATCTCCATCTCCATCTCCATCTCCATCTCCGTCTCCGTCTCCGCCCCTGGCCGCCCTTTCCGTCTTCTCCGTCTCAGACTCTGCGCAAATCCGTCCGCTATTCCCAGCTCCACCGTCTAAAGCCTCGCCATCGATCTCAGTCTTTTCTGGGAGTGGGCACCGCACGTCGCCGATTTTTGGCCATCGACGATTACACTGCCATCTAGGTGGTGGTTCGACAACTTGTGG